TGCGTCTTGTGATGGATCTGCGGGTGTGCTGCGCCTGATTCGACGCACTCTTGTGGTTCTGGTCGATGGAGGTATGCAGGTGGTGATGTCTGCTGGGATGTATGGGGAACCTTGGGATGGTGTAAGCCGACGATAGTCGTATTGATGCTTGTTGCGTGCTGCAGCGTTGCGTCTTTGCGATGGTTGCTTGGTGGGACGCTATTCTCAATGGCGCTCTCTGCGTCATGATTTGACTCACACCTGAGTAGCTTTGCCCAAGTCGGGTCCCTTCATTACGGGACTGCAGACTGTCTGCCCTCCACGATGTTTTATATAACAACATAATATTATATCTCTGTAACTTTCCCACCTTTGAATGATTAAAGGCAACTTGTTGGCGGGTGAGACAAACATGATCGAAAATGCATTTACTCAACGTCAGTGACACAAACCCTTTCTGGTGGCGAATTATTACTCTTATCTTATAACTGCCTTTTGGCTATATCTGCCGTTGTATTGGTTGGTGGAGCATATGTGTCGACCTCATGCGGGTGGTAGCTGGCGGGAGGATCTGAGGAGACTCTCAAGGCTGCGGCCGAAAGCCGCACAACGTGGGACCCCATTCCCTTGAGATGAGCGGTAGACTCATGACACGCTCTGCGGCTAGTAGCCGTGCTGATCATGCAATTGGTGGTGATGCCATACACTTACATCACGTCTGCAGGAGCGGCGGTCTGGCAGGTGGTGGCGCTCACGGAGGGTTTACGACCAGTGTGCTTATTTGCCTAAACCGTGTGACGTACATTCACTGTGGCTGGATTCGTTCGTATTCTGTTTGGCGTTTACACGCATTGTCATGCGCGACTTCGGTCGATGTTTGTGCTTACGCACTAACAAGGGGCCAAGCCTCTTTTACTGGTTCGCCAGTTATTTGGCTGTGGACTACGGTTCAGTTCCCGAATTAGCGTTCCCTTCGGGGGGAGTGCATCAAAATGCTTGGCGCTCACCGTGCACGGCGTGTATGGGGCCGTGTGACTTCACTACATTTTTTTAAATGAATGTAGGAGAGCGAAGCCCTTGTATCGGGTATTATGTATAAATATACATTTTGAGCCTTTTCCGAGCGGGAAGGGATAATTAATAATGTAAACCTGATACAAGTGGAATAGGAACGTTTTATGTTCTTAACCTTTCTCGAGCCCTGTCTTCGTGAACGGGGTTCACTTAGCTTATAAGGCACTACCAACAGCTTTCAATTGCTCTAGTGAATAGTGAAAGAACTAAGTTACTAAACAAACACAACGTAAATATGGGTCCTAACTAAGGCGATCATGCCAAAATATTATAAACGGCCTATTATTAAACCTTTAGAAAGATCATTTAGAAAGATCAAAACATATCTTATTTATCTTGGTCACATATATATATATATATATAATTTTAATATAAAGGGGAATATAATACATTTAGTATTTAATATATTTATTATTATGAGAGAGGGGGAAACGTTACACCATCTTTGTCCTCAAGGGAGACAACGCATCTGCATTTTAATTCTTAATCGACAATAAATGTAGATATCTATGTTTATAGGGATATTATGTTTATTAGTACCCGGTTGACCGAGCTTTGCTCGGTATTTTTCGCTCGGTTTTTTTTTTTAATTCGTGTGTTTTGGAAATTATAATATTTAGATACAAATTACATACTGATGAAATACGAATAATATTTTTTGATCTTAGCGACATAATAGAAAAAACTGAACTGGTTATTTGAATAAAAAATCATAAGTGCAATTATTTTAATTTAAATTTTCGTGTTTTTAAATAAAAAAAAGGGCTCGAAAAGTAGATTTTCTAAAAAAGAAAGAATTTTGAAAAAAAAATTAAAAAAAGTCGGTCGGTCGGTCTGGGCTCGAACCATGGTATTACGATTTTGTGACCGCCCTATATACCAATTAAGCTATTTGTAATCATTAATAAACTGTCAAAATTTACTATTCTTCTTTCTTTCTTTTTCTTATTCTTATTCTAACGATATTGTATCAGTTTTTCATTGTCTAAAAACACGGACAAAAAGACATTTTCTAAAAATAAATCCTAGCTAGATCGATTTATTGCCCCCGAAACTTCCTGCACACAAAGTTTTATGAAAATCGTTGGAGCCGTTTCCGAAATTCCGATTATATATATACAAGAATTGCTCGTTTAAAGGTATAGAATGTCTATGGGCCACAGCATCCACTTACCATCAGCTGGACTGTGTGCTCGTTTGTCACACTTATTCTATATAAATAAAAAATAAAAAATGGCAAGAGGATTTTTGTCGAACCAGTTATAGAAGCAAAAAAATGACTATTAATAAGAAATACTTGTAATATTGTAAAGTAAAGTAAAGTAAAGTTACAGCCTATATACGTCCCACTGCTGGGCTCAGGCCTCTCCTCATTTCTGAGAGGGTTTAGGGCAAGGAAGTGTCCGCCGCGCTGCCCAAATGCGTGTTGACGAACTTCACATGTCTTCGAAATATTTTTTTTTCTTATTCCTCTGACATGCAGGTTTCCTCACGATGTTTTCCTTCACCGCCGAGCACGTGGTAAATCAGCACTTAAAATTGCAATTAACAATTTCATTGGTGCCGGCGGGGATCGAACCCGGGTTACTCGCGTTCTGTTATATTTACAGCGAGCGTTAACCACTGAGCTACCACGGCTCTGTAATATTGAATTAAAAGTAATTCTATTCTATTCTGTTCTGTTACCAAGCTTGGTAGGTGTGTTAAAAACTATAGTTTTTTATTATTTTGAGTTTTTTGTAGAAGATGCTGCTGCCCATCTGCCGTGTTATTTTCTTATCTCACTAACCAATATCGTCTTGTGGGTGAGATGATTTAGGATACTTAGCCGCAACGTGTAAGAAAAGAAGAGTATACAATTAAACCCCTTTGGTCAAATTTACAGTTTACACAGGCGCACTCCTCACTCAACATCATCGTGTAATGTAAACAATAGAGAGGCCGCGCTCGTAGTAAAATGAAGTGAAGCGTAGAATTTTAATGATCTTAATACCCACTCTACCGGGGTAAGTGCATTGTTGGTTGTGCGACTCTGTCGTTTAACACCCATTAACGGAGAGGACGTTGTTTCTATTTTGTATTTTATGGCGCCAAGTTTGTATTGGCTACCAGCAGATTTTATAAACTAACCGTCTTTTAATTTTTATAAGCTTGTATTGAATTATCTAGAACAGTAATAATATTAGCTAAACAGCTTTTCAGCTGCCATGATTTTGGGGGACTAGCGATTTTTTGTTACTGTACTGTTTTGTTGTACTTCCTTGTTTGAAGTTAGTTGTAAGTGTCCTTGGAGTGCAGTGGCCCCTTAACTTCAGGTGGGTAAGTCCATTTGCCACCTCGGTTTTAGAGAAAAACAAAATATTTTATTTTTGTTTTGACTTTCAACGAGTATTGTTGTATATAAATATCAATGTATATTTAATTAAAATGATTCTTTTCTATAATGCAAATGCATTCGTAAGCAAATCTATTTATATTTGCACACAAAAGTTTTAGGTCATGCCGCCTTGTTGACCGAGATGTCGAGCCTTCTTGGTGAAAGACGCACCGACATGACGTCGTCTCTAATAGCATTAATTAATTCGTTAGTCTGTGCGGTTGCGTCGTTTTAAATAACTGGGCATTTGTGAAAGGTGGAGACAATTAAAATAAGCAAGCAATATTACGTCATGAAAAATATTAAATAGCTTCTTTTGCTGTTTATTTTTTGTAAATTTTTAAATTAATCATACTTCTTTTTAGGATGTTTGTACCTCTTAAGTAATTAAAATCTTATCGAGTTTTATTTCTAAAAAAACACAGCACGAATTTGTTGCAGCACGAATTTGTTGACTCGACCGAGGTAGGACCACGCCCTCACATAATACCAACGGTATAGCAACTTAATACTGCCGACTTTCGTATGTTGCCGGTAGAGAACCGGGAATCCCTTTTACTCGAAACGGAGCATTCCATTTTAATCCTCAGGGGTCAGGGGTAATAAAGCATCAGAATTTTGATTCTTAGTCTTCGGGCCACAGCATCCACTAACCATCAGATGGATTATGTCTTCATAATGAACATTTATGGTGGAAATTTACTGAAAAAAACACAAGTTAAGGAAGTTTGAAATTAAACCTTTCGTATCTATTTTTAGCCGACTTCAATAAATTTCCTCCATTTTCTTTTTCCGCATTCTTATTTAGCTGTATTTATGCATGTATTACGCGATTCTTCTACATTAACTGTTCCAGCCTAAAGGGCATTATAATTATAGGTGACATTCCATGTTAGTGTTTCGTAATGTATCTGTAGCCAATTTTGTTTTTTTTATAAGATAGGGTGACAAACGACCACACAGTCTACCTGATGGTAAGTGCTTTCTATGGCCCATAGACATCTAAATCTATCCTTGATTACAAATCAAAATGCAGATGCGTTGTCACCCGTGAGGACTAAGATGGAATGCCTCGTTTCCAGTAAAAAGGGCCTCCGGTTCTCTACTCTCGTCATACGAAACACAGTAGCATTAAGTTACTAGTTTACGCTGGTATTCTGTGAGACCGTGGTCTTTCCCCGATCGAGCCGACCAATTCGTGCTACAACTATACTACTAATGTAACTACAGCATGGCTCTACCACGTATAAAACTGCGTTTGAACTGAACCTTTGAACTGCTTTAGGACTGCAGCAGCCACTTACCATCAGGTGGACTGTAAGTTTGCTTGTATTTGAATGCTGTGAATTAATGCATCATTATCATCATTAGATAACTGAAACAGGAGACGGGCGGTAGGATCTTCCTGACAACAACAAATCAAAATAATGAAAAAAACTGCGGTTGCCAAACTACTTGCCAAACGAGGCAATTATGACAAATATCCGTCAATTAACAGTCAATCTATGAGGAGACACACTGGTACATAGTACCAGTGTGTCTCCTCATAGATTGACTGGTACTAGTACCAATGTGCCTTCTCATAGATACACTGGTACCAGTACCAATGTGCCTTCTCATAGATACACTGGTACCAGTACCAATGTGCTTTCTCATAGATACACTGGTACCAGTACCAATGTGCATTCTCATAGATACACTGGTACCAGTACCAATGTGCCTTCTCATAGATACACTGGTACCAGTACCAATGTGCCTTCTCATAGATACACTGGTACCAGTACCAATGTGCCTTCTCATAGATACACTGGTACCAGTACCAATGTGCCTTCTCATAGATACACTGGTACCAGTACCAATGTGCCTTCTCATAGATACACTGGTACCAGTAACAATGTGCCTTCTCATAGATACACTGGTACCAGTAACAATGTGCCTTCTCATAGATACACTGGTACCAGTACCAATGTGCCTTCTCATAGATACACTGGTACCAGTAGCAATGTGCCTTCTCATAGATACACTGGTACCAGTAACAATGTGCCTTCTCATAGATACACTGGTACCAGTAACAATGTGCCTTCTCATAGATACACTGGTACCAGTACCAATGTGCCTTCTCGTAGATACACTGGTAACAGTACCAATGTGCCTTCTCATAGATACACTGGTACCAGTACCAATGTGCCTTCTCATAGATACACTGGTACCAGTACCAATGTGCCTTCTCATAGATACACTGGTACCAGTACCAATGTGCCTTCTCATAGATACACTGGTACCAGTACCAATGTGCCTTCTCATAGATACACTGGTACCAGTACCAATGTGCCTTCTCATAGATACACTGGTACCAGTACCAATGTGCCTTCTCATAGATACATTGGTACCCGTACCAATGTGCCTTCTCATAGATACACTGGTACCAGTACCAATGTTCCTTCTCATAGATACACTGGTACCAGTACCAATGTGCCTTCTCATAGATACACTGGTACCAGTACCAATGTGCCTTCTCATAGATACACTGGTACTGTGTACCAGTGTTCCTCCATAGGCGTTGTGCTGTACGCGCTGAACATGGGTTTAGCAAAGAACTTAGAGGTGGCAGTGTAGGATTACACATCACCCTACCTCGTTGGTTTCGGAAGAGGTTAGTATAATAATTACTAATCTATGGTGTGACGCAACTTTGGGGAAATTTTCAAGAAGATTTCAAAGCTTCTCATCGAACACATAACACTAAATTGTTATTATTGCAGCTCTTCACGAGTTCACTGCTGTAAAAGAATCCCTCAAGGAATGCCATAAAACACGGTCTTAGCCACTTGCATTCATCGACTTTCATACATCATCGTCATTCATACATCTTATACTTTGGAGGTGTTCCATTTCATAAGACCGGTATCACCCTATTCGGTGACTGAGTACAGTAAGAGATTCATGTGCTCAGCCATAACTTCTTTTATAGACTAAATTTGATCAGGACTTTTGTTTTGTTTTAGTCCGAGTACTTGGTTGCTACATCTCTACAACTATGCTGTTATATTTCATTTTACAGGTGTTTCTAAAATTACGAATTATAAACTCGCACCTGTATTTAGGTATAAGAATTTTTTAAATTTGTCAACAAACTGTATTCATCTACGAGTACGTCAGAAACATAGAGAAATCCCTTTGTGACAGATGGAAATTTATGCGATTTTATATGTGTATTGTTTTTCTGAATTTGCCAGAGAACACAATTAATTAACACATTTTATTCGGTGTTAAGTATGGCACATAAATTCTAATTAATAAATGTTTGTCACCTACGGCTAGTACTACTACTACTACTACTACTACTACTACTACTACTACTATAACCCATCACAAGTCCACTGCTGAAAATAGGTCTCCCCCAAGAAATGCCACAAAGCACGGTCCTTCACTTCGTACATGTCTAGCCAGGTCGTCACTCCATCTAGTGCAGGGCTGCCCTACACTTCGTCTACCGGCACGAAGCTGCCTTTCGAGAACTTTTCCTTTTTTTATAGATAAGGCTGACAAACGAGCACACAGTCCACCTGATGGTAATTGGATGCTGTGGCCCATGGACATCTACATTTATCTTCGATTAAGAATCAAAACCGTGCCGACCGAGCCGTGATAGCTCAGATGATTAACGCTCGCTGTAAATATAACAGAACGCGAGTAAACCGGGTTCGATCCCGCCGGCACCAATGAAATTGTTAATTGCAATTTTAGGTGCTGATATACCACGTGCTCGGTGGTGAAGGAAAACATCGTGAGGAAACTTGCATGTCTGAGTTCGCCAACACACATTGGGGCAGCGCGACACTTCCTTGCCCTAAAACCCTCTCGGAAATGAGGGAAGGCCTGTGCCCAGCAGTAGAACGCATATAGGCTGTAATTTTACTTTTTTACTTTTAAGAATCAAAACGCAGATGCGTTGTCACCTCTGAGGACTAAGATGGAATGCCTCGTTTCCAATCAAAACTCAGCAGTATTGAGCTGCTATTTACGTTGGTATTCTGTGAGAGAGTGGTCCTTCCCCAGTCGAGCCGACCACTTTCCTCTCCATCGGTTATCGATTCTTCGAGCTACATGACCACCAACGGCCACTTCAGCCTATTAATCCATTGGGCTATGTCGGTTACTGTGGTACTACTGCGGATATCCTCATTTTTCTTCTTTTATTTCCTGTATTTTGTTGTACAAATTACAATTTTGTGTACAAATATTGTCTTTTATGGTTTTAAAGAGATTTCTATTTTGATACACAACTAAAATCCTGTCCTGTGTAAAGGGCTAGTCTACGTAGAGACTGGCCGCTGTGACCGAAATTCGATCTTGACAACATTATTATTGTTGTAGTATAGAACATACATATATAATATTCGTATACTAACTATGCTCGAGACTTCGTTCGCGTAAAATTAGTACTTTTCTTAGGATAATTTACAACGATTTATTTGTACTTTTAATTATCGCGATGATCTAGAAATACACTAATCTAGTTAAAAACATTCGGTTAGTCGGTCAATCGGACAAACTAGACAGACAGAGGGAGACACTGAAATAAGTTCAAATTTTGAAAATGGAACTCTTTGTCAATATTATTGTGTATGTATTATATTAATTTGTTATTTGTTTACGATTTGGCAGCAAATTGAAAATTGTCTGTGTCACGTCAGCATGAATTTAACACGAGAAAATTTCAGTACAATGACTTTTTATAACATTCGATGTCATTTAAGTCAACAAGAAAGTTATGATAGACTTCGATTGGCCTTTCACAATGAAGTCCCATCTCGTGCCACTGTTTACAACTGGTTTAATGAGTTTAAACGTGGTCGCGCTAATCTCAACGATGATCTGCGTGAGGGACGGTCTTCTACGGCGACGACTGTAGATAACATCAGTGTTGTGCGTCGTATGATAGAGACTGACAAAAGAGTGACTTATCAGCAGATTCGGATGAGCTTAGGCATCGGTATGAGTCAAGTGCGCTAAATCCTCCATGAACATTTAACGGTCAGGAGGCTTTGTGCCCGGTGGATACACTCCGACGTGTTGATTGGTGTCGTGAAATGGTTCAAAGATTTAACGGAGGTGACTTAAAAGCTGTGTTCGACATACTTACGGGTGATGAAATCTGGATTTATTATTATGATTCTAAAATTAAGAAACAGTCTGCTGTCTAGGTTTCTCCTTCCGAGGAATTGCCAACTAAAATGAACAGAGGTAGAAGGGTGGGAAAAAAGATGGTGGCCTCGTTCTTCGGAAAGACAAGTATTTACGCAAGAATTGTTTTAGAGGATCGAAAAACAGTTACTGCAGAATGGTACACTAACAATTGTTTGCCACTTGTCTTGGAAAAAGTTAGGGAGAAACCACCTCGCAATAGGATCTTCCTTCACCACGACAACGCCTCGTCGCACACCGCCAAGCAAACAATCGACTACTTGGCGAATTACTGGGTCACCCGCACTATATACCCGACTTCGCACCTTGAAATTTTTGTTTATTTCCGAAACTAAAACAAAAACTTCGAGGAAAACACATTACGAACGCCGAGCAAGCAGTGGCTGCGTTTCACAATTCCGTCGAAGAGACCCCTAAGGACAAGTGGGCAAAGTGCTTTTCTCGGTGGTTTCATCGGATGCAGCAATGTATTGATGTAAATGGACACTATTTTGAAAAGATATAATATAGCTAATAACTTACTAGTTTGTTCAGTTTTTGATTTTCTAAGAACTTTCATTTTTCTTTCATTCGCAAATGAACTAATGGACAGTCCCACATTCGAACCAAGAAACGAATTGGGCAAACTATACGCTTGTGTTTCATATTGTAAATAAACAACAAAATGACCACAATAACGTAAGCCATAATTTGCTACCGAACTGCATTATATCTCTATCTGCAAAATATGATAAACAAAACTAAACTCAACCGATGAAAGTCTTTTATTTTAACCTTTAAATAATAGGTGTGATAGGCCCAAAATCAGTTGGGTTTTCTATGGAGAAATTCTCTGTAGCAGTCCGAAGTGGTGATTTTAGTGATGTTTCATCCATGTACCTCAGAAATTATTTGAACCGTTAGTTCTGCGTCTGATCTCTTTATATTTATGTCGGATTACGGTCCCATCGGATTAAGAGAGTAAGAAAACAGTAAGTGCACATATGTTTGCGCACATACTCGTGATACATAACCCTAACCTGCGTTATTAAAGTTTTTTTTACTTTAGTCCTTTTTTACTACCATTGTACTTACGTACCTACTACAGAACGCTAAAAGGTACTCTTTACCGAAAGGTTCGAACTTAAATATCTTAATGTCTTGCATAATTCGCTAGTTTCCATTGAAACTTTGTCATGACCGAAATTTGGCGTAAAAGGTTTGATGGGGATGTTGGAAATAATAAGAACATATAAACTTTAAAATTATTCAGCGCCCAAATCACTTAACACTTAAATAATCACAAACATAAATATTGAACGTATTGCTTAAAATTAAAAAATATTATTTAAAAACATATTTTTAAAACCTTTTAACTACTATAGTGTTAACAAATTTTTTTTCAATACAGCGCTAACGCTACCTATTTGCAAATTGAAATAATACTAATATTTACATTATAAATAGACAACTTTACTGTTTCGTATAACAATTTTCCACCTCTTAAAGAGTGGTTGTGGTGGTAGTGGAAATATATCTCAAGCGGTTTAAGTTGTCCGTTGATGTCAGTCACTCTGGACATCTTTTATATTATATATAGAAGATATAGTATACAAAAAGTGGATCATGTGACAAATCTACGTCGTGCATTAAAAATAATTAATATAAATGCTATTTTTAAACAAAATAAAAAGATTTCTGGTATAAAATAAAAATTTTGTCTAATTTTAAGAATTTACTTGGCTAATAATTTTATGAATTAATAACATGCATTTTTATTACTAAATCACAATTTTATCAAATTAAAGTTACATAAATTTAAAATAATTGAAATAAATGCACTAATTCCGTTACCTCTACTCCCAACACCACTACTCCCAACACCACTACTCCCAACACCAATACTCCCAACACCACTAATCCCAACACCACTACTCCCAACACCACTACTCCGAACACCATTACTCTAGGAAAGATACACCATCGACGATAATACATACAAGTACAAGTATTATTGTCGATGGTGTGTCTTTCCTAGGGTAGTGGTGTTGGGAGTAGTGGTGCTAGGATTAGTTGTGACGGTATTAGTGCACGCAATTGAGGGAGGGCGAGAGGTGCTCTTCAAACTAGGTAAGATACATCATTTTATTTTACTGAGCGGATGGTTGCAAAGTAACTAATCTGATTCTATTAATTAACCATGATATTTATAACATAATGAGTAGGCGTAATATACGACCAACAATCAAAATCATGATATCAAAATTGCATAATGTGACTTTTCAAATTTACTACAGTGATTATTTGTAGCCTTTTTGTAGCTGCAAACGGGAAGATTATGCCTAGTATCCAGTTCCTATGATAGGTATCGTGATGAATTATAATTATTCCAACGGCTCGATTTCTATGTAATATGATAGTGAAGGTCCCATCCAATTCAGTTCAGAGATTTTTGCGCGATGTGTGTTCAGGCAAACAGACCAATTTCCAAAAACAATTGTTTTGACATATGTCATAAATAATTGTAATGACGGATTGGGGTGTACTATATGACTTATACAGATGTATCGATCATAATATAATACACCCCAATTCCAATTTCAAAAAATATTCAACGTACAAAAATCGTCGTGTTAGAGTTCTTTAATAGTATAGAAGTTTTGAAGTTAAATATGTAGCATAGCTAACGAACACAGCAAGAAAAAGGATGGAGCTGATAGAAACTTGATCGATTACTCGTACAGTAAAAAAGCGATCAGCGAAAGTGACAAGCAATTATCCGTCCCTAACGCCCCAGCTAACCATTTGCAATTCCTCCTCTTTCATGTCGAGTATAAATGGAATATTGGATGATATCTTATACATAATTTATATGTCAACGGAAATACATTGTACGGTTTTTAAGATAAAGAACAATAAAAAGTTCTTCATTTAGTTTTTCTGCGTATTCGAAATGAAAATTTAGAATACTTAATAACATCATCATCATTATCATCACAGGATATCTAAATCCACTGCCAAACTATGTTATCAAAGGTCTTTGTCTTCTCCATAAATTATCTCATAGGGTATTATTTGCCTGCCTATAAATTGCTTTTTTCTTTATAAGAGGGATATTTGTCGGTGTTGTCACACTTGGCAGGCGGACTGGCAAGCGCAGTTTTTATTCTTCTGAATGATTATCAGGAATATATTTCTATCCATATTCTGTTTAATTTTCATTTGTTACCACTAAGATTTCCAGGACCTGTAGGATGATATGGGGTAGTATCATTACGCCGCTACTTCATCAATGTGGGTAGTATCAATACGCCGCTACTTTACCAATATGGGTAGTATCATTACGCCGCCACTATACCAATATGGGTAGTATCATTACGCTGCCACTATACCAATATGGGTAGTATTATTACGCCGCTGCTTCACTAATATGGGTAGTATCATTACGCCGCTACTTTACCAATATGGGTAGTATCATTACGCCGCAACTTTATCAATATGCGTAGTATCATTACGCCGCCACTATACCAATATGGGTAGTATTATTACGCCGCTGCTTCACCAATATGGGTAGTATCATTACGCCGCTACTTTACCAATATGGGTAGTATCATTACGCCGCAACTATACCAATATGGGTAGTATCATTACGCCGCCACTATACCAATATGGGTAGTATAATTACGCCGCTGCTTCACCAATATGGATAATATCATTACGCCGCCACTACACCAATATGGGTAGTATCATTACGCCACCACTACACCAATATGGGTAGTATTATTTCGCCGCCACTATACCAATATGGGTAGTATTATTTCGCCGCCACTATACCAATATGGGTAGTATTGTTACGCCGCTGCTTCACCAATATGGGTAGTATCATTACGCCGCAACTATACCAATATGGGTAGTATCATTACGCCGCCACTATACCAATATGGGTAGTATTATTACGCCGCCACTATACCAATATGGGTAGTATCATTACGCCGCAACTATACCAATATGGGTAGTATCATTACGCCGCCACTATACCAATATGGGAGTATTATTTCGCCGCCACTATACCAATATGGGTAGTATTATTACGCCGCTGCTTCACCAATATGGGTAGTATCATTACGCCGCTACTTTACCAATATGGGTAGTATCATTACGCCGCCACTACACCAACATGGGTAGTATCATTACGCCACCACTACACCAATACGGTTATACAGATGAAAGTTAACAAAAACTTCACTATTATTTATTCATACTCAAAATCAAAACTGAACATAGTAATAAGTCTTAACCTATGAAATTGCCGTTCTGCAGTACTGGCTATTTCAATAAATTTTATATATAGTAACTAAAATATAGTTTTCTTTTTTTAATTAAACTTTTGTTTAGTAAAGAATTCAAATTTCAAATTAATTTTATTTTAAAAACTTGGAATTCTTTTTTCAAAATTAGTCATTTCACGTTATGATTTATTTGGATTTAAATATTTTATGTCTTCATTAATACGTTAAAAATTCGAGTAATAATGGAATATGGGTACCGTTATTATGGCAGCAACGTGGCACAAGCGGCACGCAAATTCAACGACGTTTATGGAGCGATTATTATTTATTTTTTGGTACAGATATTGCATAGTATATATAAAATTTGGCAAATCCTCCAAAGGGGAATGGCAGCCTCAATAAATCGCCCAGCAGTAAATTCCACAGGGACGGTCCAAGGACTGATCCCTGCGGGCAGCCCATGGTCGAGACTTTCCATTCAACACACTCACCTACGAATATACCCACTCGTCTGTTGGTAAAATAGTCCACCAACAACATGCGGTAGATGTTAGGCGAAATCCCCCTTGTTTGCTTTTTGCAGTATCATTGGCCACCATGCATTATCAAATGCTCCCGATATGTCCAGGAAGACATCCTACACATACTTGCGCTGTGACTCGCGAGCAGTGCTAAGCAAATCTTGCAGCACCGTTACCGTGGATCGACCCGGCATAAACCGGTGCTGATAGTTCGATATCCCCTTTACCAAACTCGGCATATCGCAACAGAACTCGCTCCAGCAATTTCCCAAAGATGGGTAGGAGCGTTATTGGGCGGTACGCCTTGAGATCCGTTAGTGGCCTGTCATTACCTTTCGGAATCACTATCAGGCGTCCTTTCTTCCACACTTCGGGGAAAACCCCCTCTTTCACATATTTAGTATACACCCAGTGGAATTCCCTAGGTGCAGCTCTCCACGCGTTCTTAACAATCCTTGCACTTATACCAACCAATCCCGGAGCAGTGTTGAGCAGAGCCCTAACTATGCCCTCCAGACACCCAATGGTGGGGGGAACGACAGTCGGCCCCGATGGAGTGAAAGCTGCCATGAGGCGCATCCGTACGTGGTATCCTGTGTCCTTAAACCTATCGTCGTCCGGACACAACGCCACGAGCAAGCCCCGCATGGCCTCTCTCACTCTTCCCGTGTATCCCTCCGCAAACTTTACTCCGTTTATCACATTGCTGGACGGAACCTCCCACTGGCTACTTAATAAGCTTGCCCCCACGGTTCCATGTTGCCTGTTTTTACGGGGTCCATGTGCGTAACATTTGCACACTGGCTCGCCACATCTTCCGTCCAAGGACTCTCGCAGTAGTTTACGGGCTCTGACCACAGACCGCGCAAAAATGCGACAGCGTCGACCTAAATCGGTGCTTGGCTCGTCCCACGTAGCATTGGTCGCTCCAAAGCTTGTTCTAATCACTCAGGAAGAGATAATTCTGGTTGAATCATGTCGATCTCTCTGTATATCGCTGAATCCGCTTTCCCTAAGCAATTATTCTCTGCTTTAGGTCGTCTTTGCGCTCCGTCAATTTTTGCGTAATATTTGGAAATAGACATTTGTCCCATCAAACGCCATACTGACGGTGCGCACAATTCTTGGCCTGTTATTGCCTGACCTGTAGCATGCCATCCTGCCTATGAAGGCCCTAGGATTTGCGATACGTTCCTTAATTCTTTTTCTCCAGGCTGGGATGGCGCAACTTTGTGCAGTAGCACGTCCAGCCGTGGAGAGCTTGGCGCACATAATGCGGAAAACTGCCAGTGGGGCGCCAAAAAGAATTGATTTCGTCTCGCAAAAGTCCCGGCTGGCTTTCATATAAGTCACCAACATTGGATTTAGAGCCCTCACGACAGCCCGATTCCACCTGCCGTATGCGGGGAAGTCGTGGTCGATCCTCGAGTGGCGTACTGGGTGTTTCCCTAATCGCCTCTTCTAATATGCTCCTCATATGCTTTTGTTCCTGGGCGACTATTCCGTCGTCGTCTGAGTCAACCACAAGGAGATCTGCGGTGATATTTACATGTGCGGGTTGCTCTACAACTCGTAGAGCCGCATCCCCTGTCATAATATTTACATTCGACGAGGGATCAGCCTCACGTCGTAGCCGTTCGAGTTCGGCGTCATGAAATGTTTTTGCTCAATTTTTGCTCGATGACGGTAATAAATGGCTCCAGCTCAGCAAAAAGTTACTTCTCCCCCCATCACCCTAAAATACGCTCTCAATGCTTTCTTATTCATTTCAATAGACCATCGTATGCGGGGCGTACTCCACCAGCGGCGGGTGTCGTTTGTTGAGTCCTAGGGGACCCTGCCGACTCAAGCCGGCTGGTGGGGATAATGGATGCGAGGTGCGGCTAGGTGGTCTTGCGGCCAATCGCGCTCGGCTTGCGATTAGCTTGCTGTCGCCCGGCGACTCCCAGGCAGCGGCCCTTTTTTCATCATCCATTGGTTTTGAGCGTCAATAATCGGGAGACGCCTAAACCCGGTGTCGTTTCATGGTGGGGCCATATTCACATGCGGGCCTTTGCACCCATAATTTTGCCGTGGCACTGTGCTAACACCTCTTGGCAAGGCACTGACTTACTGCGCGGACGTAGTAGTTTTTTCATTATTATTATTATTAATGAGGAATAATCAAGTTAACTAAAGTGACTAAAAATTACGTTTTTGTATAGGAGAGGGGGCAAAAGAGCATACGGCTCACGTGATGATAAGAGGAATTGCAGATGCGTTTCCGGCATTTTAAAAAGGATTAGGCTCTTATCTTGAAGGTCCCTAAGTCGTATCAGTCCGGAAAAAATTATTACATTCATGTTTACATTTTGCAGAACAAAGTTTGATTTTAACTGAATTTCATTTATCTGTATTCTGTAATCATATATAAAATTATAGTCCTTGTGTGTATTACTGTAATAATTCCTTTTTATCGGCCCAGCGGATTATTTACATGCAGGCATGAATAACAATTTTTTACATTTTGGTCTATATGTCCGGGCTAAAACTTCAGAATGGCTAAACAATCGGTTTTAAAAATGGTAATTAAACCTAATGAATTGAGTGATCTAGACTCTAGATCTCATGGATATTTAATCCGAGATTTATTTTTGTGTAATTAATGTTTAATGAATAATATCTAAAATTTAACTAACGCCGTATTAATTAATAGACCTTACCCTAGCAATATAGGCGTATATTAAAATTTCTTTTATTCAAAAACGTATACATATTGTTTTAGAAACATAGGCAGCTTTTCATAACAGCGTAATATTCCATTTTGTTATAAAAGATAAAAGAAAATGTTTTCATTACCAAAGCCCAACGTTATGTTAAAAGAATTCTGGTTCAGTTCTACTTTCTTTCTCGAAACTTTCTGTTGTATTAATTTAACTTTGTACCAGATGCCGTATTATGTAAAACTATGAAAAACGACAAAGTGAGCAGGAAACGGAAAAAAATCTCTTATTATAAACTCGTTAAGAGTTATAATTTGTTCAAACAGTAATCGCGCAAAATTATCATACTTTTTATAACATAAACTGCTTTTAAATTTTAGAGTTAAGTTTAAATTTTAGCCTAAATACGTTCCACTTTTCCACCTCCTTGTTTTATTAAAAGGGTTTTAGGAAGACTCTACCGCGCAGCCCCAATGCGTGTTGGCGGTCTTCATTTATCTCCGTGAATTATTTTATTTCTCAGGCGTAAGGATATCTTAACGAAGTTTTCTTTCACCGCCGAACACGCTTTTTCTGTAGATTAATGGTGACAAACGAGCAGACAATCCACCGGATGGTAAGTACTAAGTACTAAGGTCACTGTAGTCCATGGACATATACATATATTCTCAATTAAGAATAAAAATGCAGATGCGTTATCACCCTTGAGGTCTGAGATGGAATGCCTCATTTCCAGTAAAAAGAGTCTCCGGTTCTCTACACGTGACTTAAATTTAATGTTTAAGATATAAACAATTGCGTTGGTGTTCATACTCGTATTAACGGCAATTAGCTTATCCCCATGGGTTATTACAGCTTGTTTTTAAATTTATAGCCGACTAAAAAGGAAGGGTTCTCCTCGCAACTGTATGTTCTTTTTTTTTGCATGTAAATAATTTGGGGGAAAAGTTTCTTCGTATTTTGTTTGTATAAAATTGAACAAATAATTCATTGGTTGTATTGTTTGTATATGGCTGGTTGTAATATCAATATATATAGTACATTAAGAAAAATAAAAGTAAAAAGTAAAAAACACTTTCCCGCCATTTTTCAAATGTTTTTCTGTCCGCCATAATGAGTAAATCTAACGAAGAAATTCGATACATTCTGTAGTTTTATTACAAAAAAGGGAAAAATGCGACTCAAGCTGCGTAAAATATTTGACCCATTTGAAAAAGTTTGGTTATACAAAAAAGCTCGAAATTTGGGTACCAAACGATCACACTGAAATAAACGTAATGAATTGTGTACTCATTTGCGATTCAAAAATATCATGGTTAAAGGGTAGTCAAACTCCACAGACTGTATCGAAACTCGGATTAAAACGCAATAAGGTGATACTATATCTATGTAGCAGACTAGATAGAATGAATAAAAATAGGATACAATAAGATATAAATAAATATAGTAAAATATACAATGCAATAACCTATACGTACCTAAGTAAACGAAAAATTATGTAAAGATATTAAAATTAAAAAAAAATAAGTACAATATACAATATTTTCAAACAGAAGCTCAATATTATGCCGGACATTGTTTTAAGTACCGAGAGTATCAAAGTTATTGTGGTGTATATTGCAGCGTAAAGTTAAATGCTTTTTAACTATTCCAAAAATGGGAACATTTCCTTTAGATGAATTTTCTCTACTTGTAAATATTTTTTGTAAAACTTTCTGTTTTCATTGAAAGGTGGCTTTGACTGAAATTTTTGATATTTGAGATTGTGTACTTTATTGGTTTCTGCATAAAATACCTTATGGCATATTGTAACTCAACTGGTTGGCTGTTGCAAACATATAAAGATATTGCCTATCAGCGAATGTGTAATGAGTCTAACATTTGGTTTTGCCGCTCTTTCACGGAAGTCTTTCTTCAAGATTGACTCAAGTTTGGCATGATTATGATATAATATTTTATCGACTGTTTTATTACCCAATAAGAGAAATTATTTTTTTTAAATCCCCGTGTGAAGTATTTATTGACGACCGCACGGATCATGAATTGTGTATAGTATTTACTGTTCAGCGCGTCGTCTCTACAGTTTCATATATTACAACTGGTATCTCAACACTCTCTTTGAATTGAATTTTAACATTAATAGGCAAAATCATGATGACATATTAAATACGTCAATACAATCAATGAATACAATAAAATATATTACATTCGTGATCATCATCACGATCATACGACGTTTAGCATGGTACAAAGTAAGATCGCTATATTATTCTCACTTTTTTATAGAATAAGCGTGACAAACGAGCACACAGTCTACCTGATGGTATAGCATACTGTGGTTCATAGGCATATACGTTTATCCTCGATTAAGAATTAGAACGCAGATGCGTTGTCACCCCTGGGGACTAAGATGGAATGCCTCGTTTCCAGTAAAAAGGGGTCTCCGGACCTCTAAACTCACCATACGAAAAACAACGGTATTAAGCTGCTACTTCGTGCTGGTTTTCTCTATGAGCGTTGTCCTTCCCCGGTTAAGCCGACCCATTCGTGCTGCAACCATAATATAACTGAAGCGAGGATCTACCACGCATAAAACCTACTTTCTTTTACAACCTCTTCATACCTTCTTTCTTTTATAAAGTTGTTGCCGTTTTTTTCATTCCACAGAGGTGTCTATACCTCTATTGATTTGCGATTAACGAAAAAATCTTTGTCTGTCTCCTGTTTCATTTATGTCGTCTTTTATGATACTCACGGGATGCTATGGGGTCTTGAGCTTCTAAGTAATAACATACATTATTTGGTAGGAGTTAGCATTATCAAGATTCTGCATTAACTTCATGATTTTGAAATATTTTCATCCAAGTAGATAAAATTTTATTGAATATAGTCGAGGGTTTTTTTTTTCACTAAGCAACTGGTAAATCTATATAAATAAAAATCAATTGCCGTATATATGAAAGATCATCACTTGAGAACAGCTGGGCCGATTTTGATGACCACACATACTCACAATTGGACCGTGGGCCCCCCCCAAGGGGGTAGGACAAGTGACAACTGTGAATAAAATTCACCTCTCAAAATGTAACCCGGGATTTAGTTTCACATACATTTTTAAAACCAACAAAATTCAAATTATATTAAACAGCGCTGTCTAAACGTGTTAACAGCTTGACTAGCTCCTAAATGGAACATTGCAAATTCAATTAAGGCCGCTGATATTCATACTTTATCTCGACGTTCGCCGACAAAAATCCCCGGCTTACCTTATTAGTGACCAAAATTGTATTAGCCTGCAGGAGATCAAATAGACACGTATTTTTAATATTGTTTAAACACAGGTATGTACATAAATATATAGTATAGCGTATACCTTTTTCCGAACTATACTTCGCCGTCTACCTTTAGCCCAAGCGCAAACATATTAGCGCCTTCTTTATTTATAAGCTTTGATTATCGCTTACTAAAATTAAGTATTAGTTATATTTATTTGTCTCTCATTGTGGTCATTAAGTGCAAAGAGAAAGAGCGGCTTAAAGCATTAAACCGACAAATATTTAATCTAACAACTGTATATTTGTTGTAAAAAGTCTATGGAATGCATAAAGGATACCATGTTATCAACACATAAAAAAACACATCGATTACTTTTAAAAATTCGAAGAGCTGTCGACCGACCCACAGTCCATTATTATCATGTATTTTAAAGTTCATATGCTCGACTAAACAGTCGATAGGCGACAATTTTTTGGTTGTGCACTCATTCATCGTCATCATTACAGCCCCTCACAAGTCCACTGCTGAACATAGACCTCCAGGAATGCCACAAAGCACGGTCCTGAGCCACATGCATCCATCGACTTCCTGCATGTCTTACCAGACCATCACTCCA